AAACTATATCTGTGGAGGATCTTAAAATGTTGGAGGCAGATATCCCAATCATTTTGTGCAAGCTAGAAGCAATTTTTCCTCCTGGGTTTTTTAATAGCATGGAACATCTCCCCATTCATTTACCATACGAGGCACGAGTTGCTGGGCCTGTTCAATACCGGTGGATGTATCCGTTTGAGAGGTACTTTCAAAAGTATTACTTTTAAGTTGCAAAGTTTATTGGGTATATATGTCTAAAGCGTTGAAAATGTTGTAGGTACCTCAATCGCCTTAAAAGAATGGTGAAAAATAAGGCTCGCGTAGAAGGTTCCATAGCCAATGCGTATTTAGTCCGAGAGGCATCGTACTTCTGTTCTCATTACTTTGAAGAACACGTTTACACGCGAGCAAGAAATGTGCCTCGTAATGACCCCGAAGCACGAGAAGGTGTTGATGTTACAAATCAAGATATTTTTGACATATTTCAAACTCCAGGACGTGTACAAGGGAAAATGCGTAAGAGGCAACTAACTGCAGAGGAGCTAAAAGCCACACACCATTACGTACTCTTCAATTGTCCAGAGATTGATCCTTTGTAACGCCCCGAAATCTGGCCCAAAAGAATTAATTAAATTGTTAGAACAATTGATTACGAATTGGGCCCAAAAAGGGGTTAAAATTATAATTTGGATCCTAAGCCCAACTTTTATGTCATCTCGTAGGAAATATTTTTGTGATCGCGTCGGTTCAGACGGCTCGCGAATCGGAGTTATAGAGCTCATGTTATGACCATTTAATCAGGTATTTTGGGTCCGAAGCCCAATCCTTTTAGGAATGGGATCATTAAATAAAACCTAAACCTACCCGTCTCCCGTTCGGATCTGAGAGTCGCGCACACCTTCTTCTTCTTCACCTTCGATCGCCGTCGAGTTGCAGCCGCCAGACGCCGTTCTTCGCCGGTCATCCTCCCCTGCCGTTCGACCACGCCGGCGTCACGCACGCCAGAGCCTCCTCGCCGCAGCCAATCGCCGCTGCTTCCTTCGCCAGAGGTCCGCCGTCAGCATCAGCGCCGCCGACGACGGTTCACCTCGTCGTGCTGCCGTTCGTCGCCTCCACTGCCAGCGTCGGTCGTCCTCGTCATCGAGCTGCAGCGCCGTCAATCGCCGCTGTTTCGCCTTCGCCGGAAGTCCACCGCTCATCACCGTCGAGCGCCGCCGTCGCCCTTAGCTCAGGTCAGTTTCTTCTTCTTCTTCAGTTTCCTATTTCGGTTTGTCTCTATCCCCTCGATTTTGAACAAGGTAGACCGCCAACAGCTGC